AAGAAATATATCCGTTGGTCCAAGAAAAGAAGCTCTGCAGAAAAGATGCAGCATAATAATCGATTAATGCATCACCATAATCGATTAATGCATCATAAAAAATCGATTATGGCAGCTGAAAAAATCGATTAAAATTGCCAGAGCCAAATTCCTTCTGCGCAGAAAAGTGATAATCGATTAAAACCAAAGGTGTTAATCGATTAGTTCCTTCTGGACGCGATAATCGATTAATTCCAAAGGTAAAATCGATTATTGCAACAATAATGCCCAAACAAGAACACAAGCATGTGGGCGAGGTGAAGGACAAAATTGGAGCTTATAGGTTGTTTCCAACAAAAATTTCAGGGGTAAGGCTCCTCATCATCTCAAACATTATTCAAAATAAATTTTGAATAAATGAAAGATATTTGGAGTGTAGAAATTGAGTCCCAAAAATATTTTGTATCAAACGATGTACACAATAATATTTGAATAAAATATTTTTACTTTCCAAAAATATTTTCTAATATCAAAATAAATATTTTGATAAATGTTTGACACACTTTTTGTAACTGACTCAATAAATGTATTTTGAACAGTTAAAAGAATTTTTCAAATGACTCTAAAAATAAATATAATTTTTATTTTAACTCTCATAAAAATAATTTTGGAGAGAAGATATTTTTGTCATCCTTACAATAATTCCTACGACTCAAATAAATAAAAAGTCTTCGGAAATCTTCTACTCCTCCGAGTCCTCCGTTAGGCGCTCCGAACGCGTCTCGGACTCCAATAAAATCCTGTGCACCTTCTTGAATACTTCAAGGAATGGCACTTCAAGTCTTCGTGTTTGTCGTTGTAGCACTTTGATCTTGACTTGAATAAATTGTGTTTGTCAATTATCAAAACCTGTGAGTCAACACTTAACAGCACAGAAATAGTTGAAAGCATGCATTCCAACAATTTCCCCCTTTTTGATAATGACAAACATATGGAGGATATGCTACTAACAAATAACAAATTAAAGCATATACTCCTAAACTCTTCCCCCTTTTGGAATTATCAAAAATAATGCAACAAAAGAGCACATGCATTCCGGGGAGAGAAAAAAAATTCTAAGCAATTAAGAAAAATCACATTCCCCCTAAAATCATGCACTTCTAGGAAATAAAAAAAACTTCCCCCTTAAAGTATGCTATCTCCCCTAAAAAAAACATACAAAAAAAAATTAACACATATAGCAATAAATTCCCCCTTACTATATGCAAAACATCCTATGTAAATTCCCCAAATAAATTCATATATATAAATTTAAAAAATAAAGACTCCCCTTTGATGCAACCTCTTTGGCTAGTGCTTGGAGCATCCACTACAAATTTGTAGTCTTCAAGCACGCCATTCAAGTGCGTCACGTGCCCGACCACCCATCTTGTTCTTCAAGAGCGATGAGGCAATCGTCTTTGGAAGGTTCATCATACTTCCACGAAAAATAAGCAAATTCATCTTGTTTGCTCATTTTCTTGAGCTTCGGGCACTCAAATTTTCGGTGGCCAAGCTTTCCGCACTTATGACACCTTGGGGTGTTTTTCTTCTTGCTCTTGTTTAGCTCATGTTTCAAAAACTCGTTAAAAC